CAGAATCGGGGAGAGGAACACAGCGGTCACGACGGAGATGGAGGGAGTGCTGGAAAATAGGACCTGAGCTCGACAGAGACAAGGAAAGGAAGGCCGGGAGTGGGGTAGGGCACCGGATGGCCCTGTCACACGAGGGAGTGGAGAAAGGAGGGTTCCCAGGGCCTGGGAAGCAGCACAGGGAGCAGAGGGCCACAAGAGGGTGATGAGAAGATGCTGGAGAGAAATACTGTCCGCAGTTCCATTTCATCGAGCAACAGGCTTGCTGCATGAAGCCACTCTCTAACATCCCTTAAGTAATGTGCTTAGTGTTGCATGAAACAAACGACACAAACATGGTTCTGGCCTCCTGGGAGCCTGCCCCCCAGCTGCTCCCCACCCCCCCACCCCCCTGAACCCAGTGAACCATGATGATTTCAATCCAGGTTGCCAGACTCGGCGAGGCCAGCAGGACGTTGCTCATGCAAATGAAGATAAAGTATCCTATTAAGCTCACTAATTTTTAAATAGCTTCAAAGGACCCTCAAATTAACTATGGTTGCAAAACTGCTTCCAAGGAGACTAGGCCCCTTTCTGCTGAACAGGAAAGTTTCGATGGCATGTCCTGCCCTTTTGGAAGTTCTCCCAATCATTGCCACCACCCACGCGCCCCCGCACCGTGAGCACCCGGAATCTTTCACGCGAGTGGACACAGAGCCACGTGCTCAGAGAACAAAGGGCAGTCCCCTTCCTCCCGTCCCCTCCCCGCCTTCCACGGAGGGCTGTTTTGCTTTCCCGTCTTGCCGGGCCCATGTCCTTGAGGATTCTAAGTGTGTCCACACCTCAGGAACGAGAGCAACCTCTCTAATAGTTGCTGGCTCAGAAAGGATAACACTTATAAAGCAAGTTAATTATGGGAATTAAACGCAGCTTGTTTCTCTTTTTGAAGTGCTTTTTTGCTTTTTTTTCGTGCCTGGAGGAGGGTGATTTACAGGCGCATTTGTCTCTCTTTAGGGAAAATTAATTCCAGTTGGCGTTCCAGGCCGGCGCGGAGGGAAGGCAGTCCTTCCTGCTCCGTCTCGCTGACGGCAGGCCCGCACCGGGCCCCCGGCGGGGGTCTCCCCACGGCCCACACCGCAGCCGCAAGGAGCCTGGGTCGGTTCCGACACGTTCGCTAGTGTCCAAACTTCCTAGGCGCCACCGGCCTCTCTTAGATGAAGCGAACTACTTCTTTTAAAGATGATTTCAAGGCAACAGGGGACGCAATGCCACATCTGAAAGCAGGTGGGCAGAGCTTTCTGATCATCCCAGCCCCTGTCTACGGGCATTAGGCCATACGCTTTGGAGCCATAATATATTAATCCAGCTTTTCAACATCGATGGTAATAATAGTCATCATGTGCTGGGTACTCCCTACAGCCTGTCACTCTGCTAACTATTTGAGGAGGATTATCTAATTAAACGCTCGAAACAACCCTGTGCAGTAGATACTATTATTACTTCCAGACTTCCTTACGCCACCGTCGGGGCACCGAACAGCTGCGCCAGACCCTCTGAGAGTCAGGCCATCCTCACCCATAGCACACAAATGTCAAGGATATCTAGGCGCTAGTACATTTGCAGAAAACCCTTTCTCAGTTTGTGTTTATTTTCCAAGGATGATTCTACACAGTGAGGAGCATCATTTCTTCACTCTCCCTGAGAGCATGAGGAAATTAAGGGTTCGGAAGAGAAAAGATCTCCCCTTTTTGAAAACTCTATTACGATTTTTTTTTTCTGGTGGTAGAAAGAGGAAGGACGGGTGGTGTATGTTAAGACGGCAATTATACACAGATGTTTTAAGAGTACATCTAGGGAACTTCAGTTGAATGTCTAGTAGAGCAAAATACCCCTGGAAGTGATTTAATTTACAAACCAACCCCTCTGATGGTAAGATGAAAAGCAGAAGCCCAGAGACATTAAAGAACATGTTTAGAGTCATCCAGAGAGAGGCAAAGCCCACAGTGAATCTCAGGTCTCCTGATTATTTATCCAGAACGCCTTCCACTTATCCATTCTCCCTTTAAACAGAAGACCAGATGGAACAAACCAGACTGCAGAAACATGGCATTCTAATCATAATAAACCATCAAGGCATTATTCAGTGCTCTTCCTTCCAGGAGGACACGCGCCCCCAGCTTTGACGTATCCCGGGTCGTCCTTAGGAAGGCGCTGCTGCCCGGCAACTGCGTCTCCACCCCAGGCCCTGCCTGCCCTCCTTCACGTCCTCCTGCATCACTCGGAGGGCCCGGGTTTCCTTAAAAGTATTCATCCTGGCAGCGAAGAACGTAAAAATAAAATCGCTCTTTCCTACACACATTTGGAAATTACATGCGTGGAAGCCAGCAGGCAGACATGCAATAGACAAATTTTCCATCCGGAATTTGGCAGCTTTGCTGAGAATTCAGCGTCATGGCTAACAACATCACCACATTATTCGCAAGACAAGGAATTACGTACTGAGTAGATCACTCTTCTGTTGGAAGTGGAGACGGGGTATTTCGCAAGGTTGCTCCTAAAAATGATGGGAGTGTCTCTTCCTGCCCTTTTCCCCATCCTGCTTTTGAAAAAGTTTAAAAGGCAAGGCCTAGCAGAGAACTACTGGTAGAGATCCCAAATACTCCCAGCTGGATACCGGGTTTAAAAAATAAGCAGTCAGAATGTCCTTCTGAAAGAGCTCAGACAGGAAAGGATGCAGGATGCAGAAAACGGAATTCTAGTTCCATTAACTTGCCATTTCCTTGGAAAACAAAGACTGTTTTGCGCTCTGACTCCCTTAGAGTGGACATCTGTGGTTTTGCTTGCCCAGAGTCTTTCTGGCCTCTCCTCCAGTATCATCATCTGGATCTTCCTGTGGGGACCACCGTCTCATACTCTCAAGCCAAAGGGTTCAGGGGTGAGTGCCCTGTCACGATCCCTCCCCTCCCAGGGCACTGGGGTGGGCCTCAGGCACCGCTCTGGCCAATTTGTATATTCCAGCCCCCAACCCCAGTTATTAATTCTAGACACTCCAGTCATCACTCTGTGACGTCACTCAGGATGCTGCTCAGTTGTCACCCTGCAGGAGAGCCTTTTTTGGACCATTGTGTCCTAAATGGCACCTCCGTGACTCCCTGACCGTAACCTGGCTTTGTCCTTGCCATGACCCTTACCACTGTGTGCCTGTACAGTGCATATTTGAGTCTTTATCACTGTCTTCACCTTTATTTATCGCTGTCTTCACTGTACGGGGGCAGGGAACTTTTCCTGTTTGGTTCACAACTGTATTCCTAGCACTCAGACCTTTCTGTGTTTTCAGAATATGGGTTGCTCTACATTTTTGAAATAACCTTAAACTTAAATGTGGGGAAAAAAAGCAAATCCCCAAATTGAAACAAACATATGCAAGTGAACCTGTATATTAAATGATAACATGATTGGCCTAAAAATAGAATCAATTTTTATAACTTTTAAACATAGTCCTTTGTTTGTAAACCTGTAATAAAATAATAGTCTAATAATAAAAATAATCACAGCAAAAATAATTGACAATCACCTGGAGGTTTCTTGCTGTAGCGGTACTGAGGTCGTTATTCTGAAATCATTTTGCACTTGTTATAGGACTGAGCAAAAGAATGCACACACTGACACTGTTGGGAACCCCTTTTCAGTGTGAGAAAAGGGGCATACAATTGAAGAACGGGGGAGAGAAGAACCTTATGATGCTGAACTGGAATGATGGGTACTGATATGAAGTCATTATGTTTCCTGTCTCTGCTGGAACACCAAGTCTAAAAGAAACGGCAGCCCAGTGGCAATGAGCACACTTAGTGCTCAGGTCTTGGTTTCTAAATCACAGTTTCCGTGAAAATGAACCAAGGTTCCTTGATTCCAGGGCTGGGGCAGGGAAAGCACAAGACAAGCCTAGAAGCAGATTTGTGCCAAAAAGCAAGGGCATACTCAGAGACTACCTGTCAGAAAGGAGGTAGGAGCCAGACGGAGGGGCTCCCGTGCACCAGATGTGGGGTAAGGTGGGCACCCAAAACAACAGTGACGGCAGCCAATTTAAACACACCGGACAGAAATAACAATGCATGAGCCCACAGTGATATTTTATGGTGTAAAAAACAGAGAAGAATAGGGGTGAAAGATCTGTTCCAGAAAAATCTGGTATCTGTCATATCTTACCATCAGAAAGGTACCTTTTTCCTTTTGAAATTAATAAGGGATCTGGGAGCGTGTGAACACCTGTTTCCCCCTCGACCTGTCACCCAGTGCTTTTAGCATCCATTGATGATTCCTGTCTCCATCAGGTATTACACTGGGGCAGGGGGGAGCAATGGCATTACCAACAAGGGGAAGAATGGACACTGTCTGCCTCCTGAGTACACATGTTGTATACACATAGAGAGTACACAACAGCATCTATGTTGTGTTCTTGCTGAAATGTTTCCTCTGAATCTAAGTGTGAAGGGAAGAATCAGACAAATTCTGAAAAAATAGAACATTCTATAAACCACGTGGCCTAGGCTCTTCAAAAGGATAACCATGAGTGACAACAATAACAACAAAGGTTAGGGCACTGAGGCACGACAGCCCATTGTGATATATGAACCATTATTGAGCCCTACATTTAAAAACAACATTATAGCCCTGGCTGGCGTAGCTCAGTGGATTGAATGCGAGCTGTGAACCAAAGTGTCGCAGGTTCAATTCCCAGTCAGGGTACATGGCTGGGTTGCAGGCCATGACCCCCAGCAACCACACATTGATGTTTCTCTCTCTCTCTCTCTCCCTCCCTTCCCTCTCTAAAAATAAATAAATAAAATCTTAAAAAAAGCAATGTTACAGAATAAATTTAGAAGGATAATTGGAGAGCGTTCAAAATGGGCTGAATGAATATTGGTGTGTGTGTGTACATTCTGAATGAACACACCACAAGGGTCACGATATATTTCTGTCCTCATGATATTGGAATCACACAAGAAAACATGACTTCAACTCACCTGCCCCGTGATGTAAAAGTCATTCTCTTGGAATTCAGGGAATAGCTGGAAGAACTGCATCAGTGCGCTGCGGAAAGAACAGCAACACACATCAGTGGGATTGGAAAGGCTCCATGCCATGCACGTCTAGGCCTTGGACAATGGCTTTCAAGTCTGAGATAAGACATCGTCATGATATAAGCTCCTGTAGGCATTCTTTGTCAAAGTCTCCTGCACCTAACACTCCGTACTCTGTAGGTGGTTAGAAAATACTGCGGTCTGGCTTCGTGATGCCAGGAAGTTAAGACAAGTGGCCGTCAATACTCCGGACAGCTTCCCAGGTCTCTGGGCTGCCAACGTGGATCATTGACTTGTTCAGGGGACCCCCGAGCCAAGGGATACAGGCTCTCACCTTCTACTTAGCAATTCTTGGAAGCAGTTCTGCACACCTTATGACCCCATTAACCTGGGTTTGTGGTGAGGTGATGGGAACCTTTGTTGCTTACCAGCCTCTCCCTGTGGGCAACCGTGAACATTTCTGATGGGGCTCCCAGAATTTCAGTGATTTAATAACCCAAGAGCAGAAAAGCTGCAAAATGACTGTACTTTCAAAGAAACTACCAAAAGGCCACAGATATGGAAAAAAAAATGCACAATGGCCTCCAGGCTAAAAAAAAAAAATCACATTTTCTAAAGAATGCCAAAGCCACTTAGGTGAGTTATGCTGAAATAGATTTAAATGGACTTAAGGAAACAAAACATGTGAAACTCAGAGGCTCTGTGAATGTTTTCACCCAGATCACATGCCTGAGAAGGGTTTTTGTGGCAGCTTCCTGCTGAGGAACTGAAAGCCGTGAACCACCCAGCAAAGATGAAAGGCAGGGAGGCCCTGCAAAGTCAGAAGGAGGAGCAAGTTCAAGGGTTACAGAGAGGCAAAACTGGGCCATTACAATCACCAAGATCCTGCCTGTACTTAATTTTCAAAGGCTCCATAAAAAGCCACCATTAAACACTACTGAAGAGTTTTGGTGTATTTCTCTATTTATTATTTATAGTAACTAAAATCTCTGCAGTAACCAAATCTGGGAAGCTGCATTATATAGCTTACATTTTAGTGTTGACTGTAAGCTGTCTTTGGAGCAGGGATAAAAATAGGAGTTTATCCTTCCCCCTTCCCTTTCTATGCTTCAGGCTGAAACAGTGACTTCCCTTTCTTCCTGCTAATTGGAAAGGCAATAGGTAATTTAATATAGTAAATTGCAATTAAGCCATGTGCCTTAGCTTAAAGCTTGTTGGCTTGGAGACTTTGCTGGAGAGTCGTTAGGGTTGCCAGATTTAGCAAATAAAAGTACAAGACACCCGACTAAATTAGAATTTTAGATAAGCAACAAATAATGTTTTAGCGTAAGTATGTCCCAAATGTTGCATGGGACATACTTAGATTAAAAAAAATATTCGTTGTTTATCTGAAATTCAAATTTCACTGGGCATTTACTTTGGCAATCTTAGTTGCTTCTAGCTCAAAGTATGCCAGGATTCTCTAGCTGAAGTGTTCAAAGCAAGGCCCCACTTAAAGAAGTTACAGGGTTTCAACTTCACAGTAAGATCAGAAAAAAAAAAGGCTAATTATAGCAAGCCTTTGGTAGGCCTTTCTTAAATGGGATTGAAAAATGAAAATGTTAAATCTAGTGAGTTAGATTTACATATGGCTTTGGCTCATTTAATTGTGTTTTAGTCAAGGACTCTTCTTGGTACAGGATGAGGGTTTGCCTAAAAATGTAATGTAAAAGGACGGTCACATAAAATTTCAAATTTTAGAAGCAGAATCGCTACAATATATGATACACAATACACACAAATGTGTGTGTGCGTGCGTGCCCTCCGCACGTGGATTCCGGCCCGAGGAAGCAGGCCTTTTCCAGGCAATTCCATCTGGCAACCTTGCTGGCATCGAGCCAAGTAACAATTAGGCTGTTAGTCAGAAGCGACCTGGTAGCGGGGAGACGTCAGGAAGAAACAGAACTTATCAGAGAGAATGGCTAGCAGAAAGTTGTGCCTCAGGCCCCAAAAGGGAAGACGGGGGGCGGAGGGGGGTGGTTCGGGGCAGAGAAGGTGTGTGAAAATCACAGTGTTCTAGAGACCAGAGGACAGAACTGGGATAGGTGAGGTTGAATGGTGTCAGAGGCATAATAAATTCATGACGTTCGGGAGGATCGAGGTGAAAACAATCGAAGCAAAAGCTCCCTAATACAAAACCCAAACAAGGGGCAGCTTCAGTCACTGGTAGTTTGACCCAAGCAAGCTCAGCAGCAAGGATCTTGGTGGTTTTGTGCCGTCGCCAGGGACCACAGACAAGGAAACCACCCTCCGAGTTCGTTCATCCTGCTGTGTGGTGCAGCCGGGCCTGAGGGACCTTCTCCGGCCCGTGAGTGTCAGGCCATGTTGTCACTTCATATAAGAAACTGGCCTCATAGTCACATGGCTATGCAGCTTTGGGTAGCAATAGATACTGTTTCTCCTGCTACTCCAATACGTGGGAGAGGATGACAGCATCATCTCCATGTGGCTGTGAGAAAGCCACGCTGGGCACATCACGCGGGCAGGCAGGGGCCCCCTCACTCTGTACCCCAGCCCTGGGGACGCATGGCACGGGGTAGCAACAGATTAGCAGTGGCAGAAGGGGAGGGGCACCCGTTGCTATGCTCCAAGCCAAAGTTAGTAAATGCATGACTCTTTAGTTAATTTATTATTTTTCTAAACCAGAGAGGCATTGTGGCTCAATAGCCCAGTCCAAGTATGAAAAGAGAAACCAAGAAGAATAACATTAAAACGTCTTGTTAGTAAAAATGTTTCCTTTCCAAAAGCACAGAAAAGCAGCCTGAGTGTGGATGCCCTGTGAGGAGGCTTCTCCTCGCCCCAGGGCACTATTCGTGGTCAAAAGAAACGCGGTTTTCGGAAGAAAAGAAAGATGGTTTTCAAACAGAGAAGAAGAAAGGTTTACTCTTTAAACCTGCAGTAGCCCATTTGCAGGTTCCAAAGCGACCTTTTTCTTCCAACCACCCATCTGGAGCGCTGCAGAGAGGAAACAAATAGTGTAAACTAGAGAGGAAACAGCTGAAATCAGTTTTCTGCGCTGCCCTTGATTAGCTATTTTTCAGTTCTAAGAGCCTGAAGCAAAAAGAACTCCAACAGCTATAAACAATGGGTGCTTTGAAATAGGTTCTCTTTACATGTCATGCGAGAGGAGATGTACCACATGTCAGCAGTAAAGATCCGCACGGAGGGTCAGCTGGAAGCTGCGGCCATGCTGGGGGAGGGGAGGGGAAGGAGAGACAGAAGGCGGATGGCAGGGTTGCAACCCTCTGGCTTAGAGGGGATTGATGTGTTTCTTCAATACAGAACCTCCGCCCCGGGGGTGTTTGCTAGTTAAACAACTAAACTGGTTTGGATTGAAACCAAAAGAGGGTGGGGGTGTTGGATAGGGGAGAAAAGGGGGTTTCCCATCTGAGCAAATGAGAGCCCACAGTCCGCACTGAATGAGAAAGACCCAGCGCTTGAGTACACTTGGAAGGACATTTGGAGACCGTATCTGAGGATGGGATGTGAGCCAGAGTGGGGAGGGGGCCTCTCCCATTATCTGCCCAACCCGCTCCCAGGGTCCAGGGTCCGGGCACCGGGAGATGGAAGTGTGGGGTCCTACGCACCCCCCTGGAAATGGAATGGAAGTGTGCAAATCACGGAGCAGCAGCCGCATTCTTTCCTGGGTCGGGAGCAAAGCAGAGAGCGCTGTCTCTGGCAGAAAGGCGGGGAAGGTCCCCTTTCCTCTCTCCCACAGCCGCCTGCCTTGGGGACAAAGAATAAAACGGAAGTCTTTTGTCAGAGATGGAAAACCTCTGACTCGATTGGATTCACTTTCACTTTTGGGCTTGGTTGCAGCGGGCTCCCCAAGCCATTAGCAGAGTGACTGCTTGGGGGAAGTGGGGCAGAGGGGCTGGTTAGCGCCTTCTGGCCACTCGGGTGCTTTTAGTAAGTGACCATGATGCATGCAGAGTGGTGGCCTAGTGGTTGGAAAGAACTCAGGACTTGGTCTCTAGTAATAATTGACAGGCTGGAAAAATGTGACTATGAAAGGTGGTTTACTTTTTTAAAAAGGGTATTGAAAATAGCTATAATAATGTAAGGAAAAGAAAGGAAGAAACTATATATGTATACTGTTTGATTAGGTTTGTAACTTCAGTTTTCTTCTATTTTTAAAATATTTATTTATTTTTAGAGAGAGGGGAAGGGAGGGAGAAAGAGAAGGAGAGAAACATCGACGTTGGAGAGATACAGCAATCGGTTGCCTCTCCCACGCCCCCAGCTGGTGACCTGGCCCACACCCCAGTCCTGTGCCCTGACTGGGAATCAAACTGGTAACCCTTTAATTTGAAGGCTGGCACTCAATCCACTGAGCTACACCAGCGAGGGCACCTTCCTTTTTTTTTTTTTAATAAAAGAATAATTTTGTAAGATGGAGGGAAAAGGGAAGAAACTAGCTGATGAGCTGAGCTGTCAGCCTGGAGAGTCACGAGAAGCAAGAGAGTGAAAAACTGCATCAGGGTCACGAAAGAGGGAATGCTGGGAAAGAAAACAAACACCCAAGATGCTGCTTCCTGACGAAGGCAGAGTCACACACAGTGCTGGAGGGCCAGCGGAGACCTCTCAGGCGTCTGGCTACAAGTTTTGAAGATTGTCTTTGGTTGAATAATTCTGCTCCATTCCCCCTGTTTCTTTTTTACAAGTATATTCTATTGATTATGCTACTACAGTTGTCCCAGTTTTTTACCCCCTTGATCCCCACTCTGCCCTGCACCCCCTGACCCTCCAGCACTCCCCTCCTCTGCCTTAGTTCATGTCCATGGGTCGTACATGTAAGTTCTTGGCTTCTCTATTTCCTATACTATTCTTAACCTCCCCTTGTCTATTTTGTGCCTACCAATTATACTTCTTATTCCCTGTACCTTTTCCCCCCATTCTCCCTCTTTCTCTTTAGATCATACAAATCTTTCACCATTTCCATTGTGTCTTAATGATTTCCATTGTTTAAGATTTCAGCTGTTCTTGTTACTTTCTCTGCTGGCCACTTTTACAGGTATCATTGATAATGTAACAAGGTGCAAAATAGACTGTGTGTATGTGTATACTCCTCATGAAGAAGTGTTCTGAAAATGTCTTTAGAAATTAGGCTAGTTGAAAGAGGAAAGTGTTTAGTCTGCAGAAGGCTAGGAGAGGGCCAGGGGCCTTTTACCTGAATAAATCTCGAGCCACATCATCCTCGTTGCTGGCATACCCCTGGGGATCATCGGTAAAACTGAAACCTGCGCCCACCTGAAGGTAAAATAAACAGGCAGGTAGAAACACAGAGAAACACATACTTTGGAGCCCCGCGGACAGATACCGCACCAGAAGGACACCGACCTGTCCCAAAAGCCAAGCCTCTGACCTCGGATCTTTGCCATCCCCCTCACGGGAGGATGCTGCCTTTCTCCTACTTCCCGCCCCCTCCTCCAAGCCCAAAGAAAAAGCATCAGCACAAAACTCTGCCCTCGGTCAGTGGCCGGGCTGTCCGATTCCACAGTGGGGGCCCTGCCAGATGTTGATTTAGGGATGAGGAAGTCACCTCTCCTTGGCCCCTGCTGCAGTATCAAAAGAGTCTCAGTTGTGTCCTCTCTGGAACCTGGATGGTGCATCAGTGTCCCGAGAGAACAGATCGTGTGTGGGGGGTGTGTGTGTGTGTGTGTGTGTGTGTGTATGTGTGGTGTGTGCTCATTTCCTTATCAGTGAAGAATACGGCCACTCAGCCCTTTCCTTTCAGTAGACAAGAGGCTTTAAAACAAGCATTTCCTTAAACCTAGAAGTTCATAGGCAACTGAGTTGTGAGCATAAAGAAGCTACTCCTTATTATGTATAAGTAATTTGTATGAGGAAAGCACCATCCACCAAATATAACTTTTTTTCCCGAAACACCCAAGGGATCAAGACATTTAATTCAACTTTTATGCAATTACAGGCTAGGAAAGAGGATGGTTGATGGGGTGGGGGTCAGAGGGCAAGGATGTTGGGACTTTTTTCTCCCGTATTGACCTGTTTTCTTTCTGAGTCATCTGGGAAGTGAGAGACATTAGAGAAATTAGGAGGCACATGATCTGCAGAAGCCAATCCTAAAGTTACCGTCTTACTTGGCAGTTTAGTGGACTCACTTTCGCAAGAGTTTCCTGAGGTGAATTCCACTTTTTGTTTGAAGATGAGACATTCTGCTTGCAGTGGTAAGTGGAGGAGACCAGTTTTGACTTTTTCTATATAGAATTCTATGGGGAAGATTCGGAGTCCAGACCCTCTGTAATAACCCACAACGTCGGGAAGCTGTCTCATCGTGAAAAGAAACTAACCCCTTATGCTGGATGACGTAATTCAGCAAGCAGGATGTTTTACAAGATTTAAAACGAGAAAAGGACAGAAAGCACCAAGCCAAAAATCCCCAAACTCAGATATAATGATACATGTCAGAAACACTAAATATCTAAAACTATTTTTACTAGATTAAATTCTACTTTAGAAAGAAAGAAATGAAATCTCTATTTCCCTTTTTTCCTATTCCTCAGATGTACTTAATCCAAAGGAAAGAGAGCAGAGAGGCCGACATCGCCGTCTCGGCCAGCCACTGGCGCTCACCGGGTTGTCGATGTACAGCATGGACAGCGTGGAGGTCCAGGCAAAGTCCCGGAGGTACACTGGTGGAACAGAGAAGAAGTTCGAGAATGAGTCACAAACAAAACCTCCCACTGAAGGCCAGGCTCTGGTCCGGAGCCCAGCATGCCCACCTGTCCTCACCACGTCAACATACTCCTGGTGTCCCGCTGCCGGCTTCGCCCCCTCACTGTGAAAGCAGACACCAGCACCTTCTCCTCTCCTCTCCTTTATTTTTTCCAGACCCAGAGGGTTTCTACATCTAAGATGGAGTTTAGAAACAAAACCCTGTGCAGCTTGGTCTAAGTAGAACACCCATCAACCACCCACGCAATAAACCCATCTGTTTTCTCCGAAGGACCATCCCCTCGTCCGGTCCTCCTGATCCTCTTCCTCCCACCCAGTGCTGAAAAGAAGAACCTCAACAGAGGTGGCACACACTTGTTCCTACTGAGCCACAAGCTGGTGCACCCGCCAAATTCTAACCCAGGGAAAGCAAACAATCTCCCCCTGAAAAAGAGAAGGGGGTAGACCTGGGTCACAGCCAGCGTGGGTCACAGCTCCTCCTCCATGCCTTCCTCCCCCAGCCCCCACCCGTAGTCTCCTGCTTCCAAGATACCCGATCACTTGTGACTGAGCCACACAGTGTTCAGTTCATATGAATAATTAGGGATATAATTCACCGTTAGGCCCATGCACAAGAGCTTGCCTACGTAGTAATAAGTACCACCTGTTTTCATAAGCCCAGATTGCTTCAGTTAGCAGCAGACTGCAAGAAAATAGCTTAGAACCTTTCACCCAAATTTCGAGGGAGAAAGCAGCCCAGCTCCGGCGGCTCCTCCTTCTGGGGCAGACGTTGCCAGAAGGCTATGTTTTCGTAATCTGGAACTGTTAAGCTATTCCTAGCAGTCCATTGTACACTCTAAGTGATTCCTGGGGCAGATAGAAGGTTCAGATGAAGAATTCTCCATAGGAAGAGAAAGTTAGGAACACAAGCAATACTCACAGGTCAGGTTTTTTGTGACAGCAAAAGGCCCATTTTCCATAAAGAGTCCAAACAGGGATGAAGATCCCGGCCCGCCCTGCAGCCAGACAACCAGTGGAGCGGTCGATGACTGCATCTAGAGGGGACAGAGAGGACAGTGACCACACAGAGTGCCAAGGCTGTGGGGGACACGCCAGCAAATTCACACAAATCCTCTGTCTTGAATACATCTCATAAAGACTTCCCAGACCCCAATGACCCTCTCCATTGCAAGCGAAGTGCTCATCATCTTTTGTAGTTTTGAGTTAGCACTTGCCTCCCATCCTGGGGTCTCTCTTAACGCCATTGTCTTTTCTCGCCAGTAGTCAGAAAACCCGAGGCAAGGCAGAAGCTGTGCCTTTGTATGTCCCTACCCACCCAGCATGCTGCCTAGGACACAGTTACCGTTTTTCAGGTGTTTAAACTTTCATTGGACCAACGTAACTCCAAAGAGGCACAAAGAACCCATCGTCCTCAGCGGCAGTTTGCACCCTTCACCGAGAGCCCAAAGAGCCCGTCTGATTTTGTACACTCAGAAGGTGTCCCCCGGGACAGCAGCAATGTCATTCAACACGAGGACACTGAGAAGCAGTGGGCTGGCCTGGTGTCATTGAGCCCATGCAAAAACAACAGCAGCAAAACCCTAAACAACACCCAGGTTCGTCTAGGAGATGTGGGAGACATAAATAAGAAACGGTCCTTGGCGGGGCTGGGATGCTGCCGTAGTGTCAGCATCCTCACTCTCAAGGACCGAGTGTTCTCCAGTTCTTTCATTCAGCCCGTATCTGTTGAGCACCTCCTACTGGCCAGGCACCATGTAAGACGGTACTCAGCATCTCCTATCGATCGGTCAGACACCACGCAAAAAGGTACACCACGTGAATGAAAAAGGAAACTCCTTGTCTTCTTTGAGTTTACATTTTCACGGGGAATATAGCCAATATGCAAGTAAATAAATAAATGTGATGTTTAAAGAGCATGAAAAAGAAATGAGGGGGAGGTTAAGAGAGTAGCCGAGGGCGGAGAGAGGGGGCCTTCCTTTAGACACGTTGACCGGGGAAGGACTCAGGGAGATCCTGAGAGTTAAGGGATGCTCTGAAAGCAGAGAAGGAGCCGGCACACAGGAGCCAGGGAACAATGCTGAAGACGAAAGGAAATGATGCCGGGGGACATTCTCAAGACGGGAGGACTGGGCATAAGAGCAGCGGGTGCCGAGGCTGCCTGGCAAGGGGACCCCTCCGGAGCGGTGTGAAAGGCTGTCCGTGTGGCCTCCCCCCTCCCCAAGGCTCACGGCGGAACGTGGCCACGAGCCCTCATTCGACGTCGCGGCTCATGGGAGGTCTGGTCAACCAGGCTCCAAAAACGAGGATCCTAGTGCTTCAGTCCAGAACGAAAAGCTGCATCCTCTTACTTAGCCCAGTCCTAGAGACACGTCCACACTTGGTGAGAAGGTCTGAGAGAACTGGCCCCGTCTACGCGAGGCTGCGAGAAGGCTGCGGGTAGAAGGCAAGACTAAGTCGAGAGGAGGCGATCTGGGAGGCCACAGCCGGGACTGGAGGAAGAGCGGACCGTATGGGGTTCGACCCCTGAGGACAGACAGAGTGGCTGGAGGACTTCTCTTCTCCAGTCATGAAGAGTCGGGCACAGAGTCACGCGGCAGCTTTGGAAAGGGACTAAGGGTGCCTTGCTGAGAGAGAGGTGGTGGTAAGAACAGCCTCCCCGTGAGGGGCTACCTCCGGGGCCCACTCTCCAGGATTAAGGAATTAAATGAGATGCTATTTGTGAAGCCCCCAAAACAACCCTAATGCATGATTAAAACAGAGTCAGTGCAAATAGTATAGCTAAGGAAACAGGTAGAAAAGGTCAGGGCCCAGAGTCAGGCTGGGGACTCAGGTCAGCAGGCTACAGCTCCGCGAGTCAGCACAGTATAATGGATAGGTCTGTGAACCCTTGCCCTAAACTAGTTTCAATCTGAACTTTATTATCCACTAGCTGTGTGTCTTTAGACAAGTCACCTACGTTCTCTGGACCTCAGTTTCCCCACCTGTAAAATGGGGATCAATCATAGCACCTGTGCCGTGTGGTTGTTACGAGGACTAAAGAAACTACTGGGCTGGCCAAAAAGTCCATTTAGTTTTTCTGTAAAGTAAAAGACACATTTTTCATTTTCACCAGTAACTTTATTGATTTGGATATTTGAGCATGTCAGCTGTCTCCCACTATTGGCTTCTAGTGCGGAGAGGCCAGGGGTGTTGCTAAACATCTTCCAGTGCATAAGACAGCCCCACAGCAAAGAATTGTTTGGCCAAAATGTCACTAGAACCAAGAAACTTCGCAAACCACTTCTGACACATTTGATCAGTCACAGCACCTTCTCCGCACACTGCACAAACTTTTTTTTTTCAGTTTGCATTGCTACCTTTCTTGAAATAATAAACATAACATAATATGCTGAAAACGTTGCTTATTTTCTTCCATCTTCAACATTAAAGTGGCTACAAAAAATTCATTAATTTTTATGTTTTTTAATGCATGCTGATACGACAGCTAGCATAATACACTCTAACAAAGATTGTTTTGAATGCAGTTAAAGACAACTGAACACATTGTACAGAAAAAAAATGAAACAAACTTTTTGGCCAACCCAATAATTTTCAGAAAGCCCAGTGAGTGGCATGTCACACAGGTTCTGCAGGTGTGAGCTATTGCTATAACAGACAAACACTAGGAATTTGTTTCCTGATGGTTTTAAGGTAAACCCTCTCTACATGAGAGAGTAAGAAAAACAGGCAATTCAGTGTTTTTCCTTGCCTCTTGGGCAGCCATCTTCCCCAGTCTGTTTTTTATGAGTTAGTCCTCTTGCCTCAAGTGTTGCAAATATTCACAAAAACTCAAGAGAACTAAGGACTTGTCATGTAAGTTGAAGAGGAAAAAATTAAAATCAAAGACAGGCTTTGAAAGGTGCTTCAGGGAAGCAAAGTGAGCCTTGGAACCGGGAGCCAGACAGGTTCTGGTTCTACGTGGTGGCCTAGTAGCCGTGGGGTCCCAGCCCTCGGTCTCCCCATCCATCGACAGGCGGTAGTGCCCACCTCGCCGGCTCGCCTGAGCCCCGATGAAAAAATTGCATCATGACATGATACTGGAAACTCTACCGGGCTGAGTAAACACAGCCAGCCTGCCCTTAGCTGCCTGGCCCCACGGTGTGTGTTTTGTTTGCTGAAGCGATCTTTATCTCCTCTCAGATCCTCTCACTTGCTATTCAAATACCAGTCACCAGGGCCACATTCCACTTGTATTCCCGCAGCAGTAGGAGAATATTAGAGGGGGAGAAACAATGGAATCCGTATGAAATTAGTCCCAGGCTCTGGGGAATGACATACAGCGAGTCCAGCCATCCAGTGGACACCCAGCCCCCTCTCCCCAACGCACACACACACTTCCTTCTTTCCTTCCTTCCTTCCTAACATGCACGTGAGTTTCTAGAAGCCACAGTGTGCTGCATGCGAGACGGTGTTTCTCGGCCTTGGCCTCCCATTAAAATAGCCTAGAGAAATTAAAGAAAAAAAACTGCTTAGGCCGAAATCCCAGGGATTCTGAATTAATTGGTCTGGTTGGAGCAGACAGCAGTCTTTTTTATTTTTTATTTATTTAAAAAATTATTTTATTTTAGAGAGGAAAAAAAGGGAGAGGGAGAGAGAGCGCGATTGCTTTTGTTCCACTTATTGATGCATTGATTGGTTTGTCCCTGTATGTGTCCTGACCAGGGATTGAACCCCCAAACGTGGGTATCAGGACAACACTCTAGCCAACTAAGCCACCTGGCCAGGGCCGAGGCATCAGTCTTGTTTAAAGCTCCCAGGTGCGAGCCATGTGCAGGCCGGGCTGTGAATCCGGGAGGGTGACGGGAGGTTTGCCCTCTTGGATGCCTGGGCCCTCTGGTCTCCACCCTATCCTCCCCTGGCTTCTCATGTCCCTTCCTGCGACCTGGCACACAGAGGGAGTTCCCGGCTCTCAGAAAAATAGCCTGACCCTGAGAGGCCACACTACAAAGTCAAGTCAAACACCTAAGCGCCAAACATCTTTATTATGCAACTTCGAAGCCCAGGACACTGCATTCTTGGAATGCTTAAATAATAAGAGATCTGCATATACACCTCTCTCCTCAGCTGACCTTGCTCCTCAAATTTACTTTCCTGAAGGATGCGAGGGAGCTCAATAACCCTTGAAAAGGCCTATTTTTAGAGAAAACTCCGTGTGCACATATTTCTTCCTTGATGGGCCAACCAACCCGTGAACTGCCCTTCTCCCGGATGAAATGCAAAGGTCAGATTCTGGAAGGTAAAGATGTACGTGTTCAGTGCTAAAGACCCAAGAGTGAGTGATATCCCAGTATGCAGACTTTTGTAATATAACATGGCATTGTAACATAATGACATGCAGCAGTAATTATGTCCATAATAATGGCATAGTTATTACGTGACTATTCTAAGGTGATGTATTTGGCTCTCAGGTGTGAGAGTGCAGCCCTTCCCCCACTCTCTGTCCCTCACCTAGGGAAAAATGAGGATACATGAAGACATCCTGAACAAAACTACATGGCAAAGCTTGGGAGCAAGCCAAGTAAAAACCTGCATTAATTCATTTACAGTTTCTCCAAAAGTTAGGACTTTTAAAGTATGTATTATTCTGAAGCTCTGATTCGAGAGTGCATTGAAGCAAGAAAAATAGGGCATTGACTTTTGTCAAATGTTCTAAAAATTTTACATAAAACATTTCAGGTTATAAGGAAAGTACTTATTCTTAACAACTTTTTTTTTCAAATAAGGTATAAAAATATTCCCCTTGCCTCACCAGTCCTGCTCCCTAAAGAAGATCCTGAAATGTTTAGGCTTCCAGATTTTTCTCTACTCCCTCACCATGTACAGCTATATACATATCTTGTAGATATTATACATACTATATATAAAAATAATTTTTTCCCCAAAATAGGACCAGGCTATAAATACTACTCTGTATTTGCAGTATTCACCTAACAGCGTGCTGTGAAGATTTCTTCTTGTCTGTACATAGCACTGGGCTGAAGAGTATGCCCCTCTG